TCTTTGATGTCCTTTGTGTGTCTTATAGCATGATACTCAGGCAATAAATTTTCATGTGCTTTGAGTTTGAATCAGACTAGCAGACAGCATATCAAGTGTTGCTGAGAATTCTAGTATCATAGATTTGAAGATAATTTAAATTGTCATCTGGGCTTGGAGGCCCCAGTGGCACACTGGGTTAAATCGATGAGCTGCTGAACTTGCTGATCGAAAGGTCACAGGTTCGAATCCGGAGAGCGGGGTGAGCTCTCACTGTTAGCCCTAGCTTCTACCAACCTAGCAGTTTGAAAACATGCAAATGTGAGTAGATCAATAGGTACTGCTCCGGCGGGAAGGTAACAGTGCTCCATGTAGTCATGCCAACCACATGACATTGGAGGTGTCTATGGACAACACTGGCTCTTCGGCTTAAAAAAGGAGATGAGCACCAACCTCCAGAGTCGGACATGACTGGACTTAATGTCAGGGGGAAACCTTTACTAGTCTGGCTGCCTCTCAATGCAAGAATTAACATTCTGCCAAAGCAGAAGCACACAACCTACAATGTAACAGAGTAATAAATATAATGATGAGAGAGAACATGTGGTCATCCAGGTCTTTCTTTAGTACTACAGCTACTATCAGACTCAACCAGCATGACCACCAGTCAGACTTGATTGAATGCAGTCCAGCCAAAACCAAAGGTGCCCTTTTTCAGTGATAGCTCCCGTTCTTTTAGTCTTATTATTCATGATGTTATTTTGTCAGAAGGTTTAGTGCAGTGGTTCTCAACCTGGCAAACTGGCTGGGATTTCTGGGAGTTGTCGGCCAAACCACTTGGGGACCCACAGGTTGAGAACCACTGGTTTAGTGCAATGTAGTTTAAGAATAGTCTGTGTTTGTGTTGTTATGTTTTACTGAAATCCTTAGGAATCCTTGGTGTATCATTTCTTGTTTTTAAACCAAGTGAAGTGTGTAATACCAGCTACCCAAGTACCCGTTAAGGTTACAGGCTTCATTTGGAGTATATTCCTTATGTCACCTAAAGTTAATTTCTGTCATGTGGCAAGCACAAACATCTGTAGTTTGTATGAAGAAAGAGCAAATCTCTCCTGACTAACATAATGTATTTGTGACATTTATGTTTAGCAAATCAGCATCAGTACAAAAAAATCCTTGTATCTCATTAATTTCATGAACCCTTTTGCACTGCATTAATCTAAACGAACATCAAAATCCGTGTCATAAGAAGGGTTATCTAATTATGTGATATGTACTTATGTATAGTTTGGTACATCTTGACAAGTACACCTTGTTCCATCTGTAGACATGAACTGATCAAACAGTGCATAGGATTAGTGATTTGCATAACACTGTCAACCAGTTTTATGGAAGTGACAAGAATAGCTTTCCATTACAGCTTTGGACAGAAGGGTATACGTAACAAACTGAACAAAGCTTGACTATATACCTAGGATCTTAAGATCATTTGGGGAGGCCCTGCTCTTGGTACCTCCACCATCGCAATTGTGGTTGGCGGGAATGAGAGACAGGGCCTTCTCCGTGGTGGCCCCTCCCAAACGAGATCAGATCTGCCCCATCACTCCTGACCTTCCAGAAAAAAGTAAAATCCTGGCTGTGGGGTCAAGCATTCGCAGATTAGACTGACTTACTGACAAAAATATGGTTTTAATGGACTGTGATGGACTACTTTTAGGATGACGGCTTAAATCAGCGAGCCATTTTTAATGTTTTGGTATTGTTTTATTATAATATGTATATTTATGTTCGTTTTATTGTTGGCACTGTCCTGTGCCAGTTGGTAGCCACCCTGAGTCCCTATGCAGGGGTTGAGATAGGATGGGATGCAAATGCCCTGAATGAATGAATGAATGAATGAATGAATGAATGATATATTATCTTTTTTTCCCCTTTAGAGCCTCTCATTCACATCCCTGTCATATAGGCAGGGTGGGAATCATGTGTCCTGCCAGATGTTGTTAGCCTGCAACTCATGTTCTTGTCCAGTCCAGGACTGTTCAGACTTGGTTCTGCATTGCCTGAAAGACCACAGGATTTCCACCTTTGAGATAAAGTAAGCCAGATGGCATGGTGGTACCATGGTTTGATACTGATAAACTATAGCCTTTCCCAAAGATAACAAGGGAGTTGGAGTATGAAGCTGCCACGAAGAACTCCTTTTCTACAGTTGCTCATCCAGCTAGTCTGATAGGATAGAAGGACATCTAAGGATTTTCAATGTTGCTTCTACTTATTATGTAGAATTAATGTTGCTATATTTCTGTCAGTTGCATTTCATTTGGATATGCTGTTAATAAACCTCAAGAATATGTAATCAAAAACTGAGATATAAGTCTTTAAAATACTTTTATGAGTCAAAATGTGATGATTCAAAGTGTTCAATTTCTTTTGACTTCACCACCATCTACATTTAAATTTGCAGGATCTGGGCTGTTTTTGCATTGTTTAAAATGACAATAAATTACTATAAAATGCCATTCATAGTCATGGCACCTCCTGTATAACAGCAACAACATAAACCATGCCCAGTATACTCCTGGCACTGTTTAAAGTACCATAGTAGTCATTGGGCATGGGCAATCCATGGTTCTAAATGGTTTTAAAGTACTTAGAAAACTAGAGGGTGCAGGTGCTTTGCTTCTAAAGTGTTGCTAAAGTTCTGGTGATGAAACAAAACTTTCAAAATGTCATTGTTATTTTGCTATTGGTGATTTTTATGACAGAACCAATTAGGAACTGCCATTTATAATGAAATTTTGAAAGTTTTGTTAGAGTTCTGAAACTTTAACAACACTTTAGAAGCAAAGCACCAGTGCCCGCCCCCTAGTTTTGTAATTACTTTAGAACCATAGATTGGCCATGCCTAGTAGTAATCATTCTTATTAACAGCTATTTCTGAGGTTCTAGCTACATCTTTCTCTGTAACATCACCACTAGGTTTGATATAAAACTCTAAGAAGAGAGCATGGAAGGCATGCTCAAAAGGACATGTGCTAATTACCTGCCTGATAAAAACCAAGGGTTTGCATAATTCCCTGCAGTATGTAAATGGAAACGTTCCCTTCTTCTTCCCCCCATGTTAGCTGTTGACATGGCTACCATTTTGAGTGATTATGGTCACTCAGTGTAGGAAATGAATTAAGATTCTCCACAGGGTCCTCATTTGTGCAGTATATATTAAAACTAAAAGGCTACTTATGTAAATAGTGACTCTTACATCACAACTTATTTACCTGCTAGCTGAGTTGCATCCAATTTAGCAAAGTGGCCGCAAAATGTGCAATTTCACAGGAAGCCGCTTATCCAACAGCCGTAAGGGAGTTCATTCACATAATAGGTATTACCTGGAGTGATTTAATGTGCAGGTAAACAACCTTCTCTTTGGCATTGTTCCACCTCAAATATAAACAGACCATTTCTAATACTGCATCTAATGTTCTCTTGAAGTATTTATACCCTTTCAAAACCTCAAATAAAAAATCACACATATTTACAATTGTAAAATAGATTGCAGCATGTGTTGTACCCCAAAATATCAAGTGTGGGCATTGGGGATAAACAGTGGGTTATTCTTGTGGGCAAAAAGGAGGGATTCAATTCATCCACTGCCACCACAACATCCCAATATCATTCTGTGCAGAAACCGGACACCTCCATAATCATTATGTACAGATAAAAATCTTTTTTTCTTGGTGCTTCTGCACACAGGATGTTTTTTTTTAAAAAAATTGTTGCATTACATTATGAAACATGTACCTGGGATCAGCTGGGAGAGGAGTTGGGTGATGCGGGGCGTGGGGTGCCAGGTTCCCTATGCCCCCAATGACATGGAGTGACTCCAGCAGCAGTGACAAGGTCCATAATTAATGCCAACTAAACAAAGCAAGGATTTTTCTTCTCTTTTACAGACTGCTCAAATATTGAACAGAAAAATATTTTTATTCTTTGAGCTCTTCCTTCACTGTGAGGGTTTTTCTAAATTAGAGAGCTGACAGTTATCAGCAAAAATGGTACACTATCTATATAAAGTATAAAGTGCTGTTGTTAATTATGTTGAGACTCAGAAGCAAGCTTTGTTACTCTAGCTTTTAAAAACTTACAAAATACAACACAAAAACCCAAAATAGATTGCTGAAGTAAATTAGCATTAGCATTTCAACTCTCATACTGCAAACCTTTTTCTTTAACCCAATAAGTACTACAGTCAGCCCTCTACATTCATGGGAATAATAGCTTCTGTTTGAGAGGGCTTATTATTTTCATACCAAGATCCAAAACCATCCTGAAAACTTGGAGCAGAGAGAAAGAGATAGCAACTTCAAATCCCAATTCTAATCAACACCTCCTTGAGTTTACCAAGCCCCCCCCCCCCCCCCCGGACATGTCCAAAGGCGAAGTGTTGCCCTTTTAAGCAGAGCTTCCCAAACATTTCATGCTAGTGATGCACTTTTTAGGTGCGCATCATTTTGTGACACAGTAATTCAGTTTTACTAACAATCTGGAGGTTAAATGGTTTAAACCAACCCAGTATAAAACATACAGACACATACATAAATTGTAATAATGACATGTATGGGGAGATGAAAACCTTTCATTTATATTATTTAAATATATGATTGATTTATGGCTTATTTCACATAGACTCAAGAGTTTATCATTGCATTGGCGCAACACACCTATACAGTGCAGGTGACACACAACAGAGTTTGGAAAGCTCAAATTTAAGGGGAGAACTTGTCTGTCACCTGGGGTTTTTTGTTTCTTTTTTTGCATAAACATGAATGTTTCAGTACCTGGATCCTTTCACACAACATATCTGTAGTACTATGGCTCCTCTTTAACTATCATGACAGCATCCTGTGGAATCCTTTTGATAGGCAATTTATGGAGGGGTTTTTGGAGTTCTTGACCAAAGAGCTCCAGGGTCTCCACAAACGGAATACCTATTATGTGAGTGAACTCCCTTACGGCTGTTGGTACTGGAGGTTTGTTCACACACTCATATACATATTCTTTATCTACAAATCAATGGCTGGTGGAAGTATTTGGGTACCTCAAGTTTCTTCCCTCACATAGATTGAATATAAGGTATGATTCAGGCTCTCAGAAAGCTAGAACCGGCCTGCTAACCCCTTGCATTACAATCGGGTACAAAATTCCACAGGTTCATCTCTGCAATTGTTAACAGTCTCATCTCCTGCTGCTGCCATTGCCTCGGTTTCAGCTTCAAAGGCAGGATTGAGCCTCCCAGGTGTGTAGTCATTTCTTTTCAGATCTGTAAGAAGGAATCACATAAAAACTCAGATCACCCAGCATTGAAGGAGAGCCAGGTCTTGAGAATAAGAAGTCGTTCCTTAAATATGGTTCAGAACAGAAAGGCAAGATGCCTTTCGTATTGTCTTTCCCATGTTCTAATATATAAGTCTTAAATCCAAAGAAGCAAAGGGAAAGAAATCTCTCAGTAGATGTAAGAATGGCTTCTTTTGTGGGTGCCTTTCAATCTTTTATTAGGCTTACTTGGCCTTTCATCATGAATGCCATAGGTTGTGAGTTCCTGCTGTTACATCTATGAAACTGAATAAGAATATGGGATACAACAGGGGTAGGCAAAGTATGATCTCCAGGTGTTTCTGAACTACAGCGCCTATTAACCTTAGGGATTTGCATCCAACAGCTAGAGGACAATAGATTTTGAACTTCTAATCCCGAGTACTCAGAATAGCCATGGGGTTGAGGTTGATGATGTTTCTGTGGGAAAGCAATGTAGCGATGGCAATTAATGGCCCATCTATTTGTAGATTTTCCAGAAATTTATAAAACCTAAAATCTATCAAATGAAGCATACTTATAACAGCTATATTGTGTTCATTTTGGCCTATTTATCTCAACGTACTTCACAACAAATTACCATTGGGAGGTATGAAAAGCCCTGGAAGGTTATGCACCATGTTCAGTAACCAGAAAGAAAGAAACAAAAAGTGAGCAAGTCCTTGTGTTTTCTAAATGACATTCCTGATGGTTACTGCATCCCCATGTCTACCTTTTTCAAGTTATAATCCTAAAAAATACAATACCTAAAATCCTACTGGTATCTTATATTTGAATAAGTCCTTTTATAGAAGCAGTTAGACATTTTTGTCCAATACGTAGCATCCACATGCCATCCAAGCTTGTGCAAAGGGAGGTACTACAAGAGATGTCTGTGCATATATGAATGCTTTCTTTGGACGACGAGTATCCATCTGCCCCATTGAAATTGTCAGTGTGTGTATATATGCCTTCAAGTCACCTCTTAATGTATGATAGTCCCAATAATTTCATAGGGCTTTCTTAGGCAAGGAATGCTCAGGTTTTACCAATTATTTCCTCTGAAAAATAGTTTCCAACTTCTGGTATCTATTGGTAGTCTCCCATCCAAGTACTAACCAGAGCAGATCTTGCTTAGCTCTCAATATAAGATGGGAACAAGGCTTTTTTGGTGGTTAGTAATGCTCCCTTGGAACCTCCAGTGGCACAGTGGGTCAAACCCCTGAGCTGCTGAACTTGCTGACCAAAAGGTCAGTGGTTCAAATCCAGGGAGCGAGGTGAGCTCCTGCTGTTAGCTCCAGCTTCTGCCAATTCGAAAACTTACAAATGTGAATAGATCAATAGGTACCGCACCCCCAGGAAGGTAACGGCACTCCATGCAGTCATCCTAGCCACATGACCTTGGAGGTGTCTACAGACAACGCCTACTCTTTGGCTTAGAAATGGAGATGAACACCACCCTCCAGAGTCGCACATGTCTAGACTTAATGTCAAGGGGAAACCTTTACCTTTAATGCCCCTTTAATTGGGCATCCAAGTCAACATCTGATTGTACAACACTGCTATACAAAACAAGCATTGCACCACACCATTGTGGGCACCATATACTAGTTGTCAGTATCACCCAGAGGAAAAAGTTTCCTAGCAAAAGCACATAAAGTCAGACCAGATTTTGGCTTTGAAGTCGACTCGTTTGCCAAAGTATTTGGGCTTCAATTGATGGATGCTATTTAAATGGCTTTTCTAACTAAGATTAATTACGTTTCATCATTTGATCTGCCTTTTGTTATCTGAAACACACTGAGCTCTATGTTTAGTAGAAAGACAAGATGTTAGAGATAATATAAAATTAATAGGCAGAGACTAGAATTTTAGCAACAGAGTGCACATGTTCACAGTTCTCAGATTCAGGAACAAGCTGCTGTCAGGAATGGTTTGTTCAGAAGCATGCAGAGTTTTTGTAATGCATACCAGGAAGCCTCAGTTTCCTGCAACAAGAGTTACAGCAGTGCTTTGAAATAAAGTTTTTGATTGCGTTCTCTCCAAGGTTTGCTGGTCCAAAAGCCATCCCTCTAGATCTGTAAGAAATGACAGAGTACCAATGAAAGTGTAGCCTACATTTCAGTCTATTACTCACAATCTTGCAAAGTCTTAAAAGAAATAAAGCAATGGCCTTAAGACTGTTGGTACAAAAATACACAGTATATCTATGGGGCATACATCCAGAATTTGCGTGGATACATAGAACCATGGATAGTAGCAAACCCTATTGAAAGGAAGATATTTTGACCCAAAAATATAGTGGAGTCGCACTAGAGGGTCCAGAAAATGCCTGGAAAGGCCATATTGGGGCTGCGGTGGTGCAATGGGTTAAACCCTTCTGCTGCAGAACTGCTGACCTGAAGGTTGGCAGTTCAAATCCACCGGGCGGGGTGAGCTCCTGCTGTTAGCCCTAGCTCCTACCAACCTAGCAGTTCGAAAACATGCAAATGTGGGCAGGTAAATAGGTACCGCTTTGGCGGAAAAGGCATAAGATGCTCCAAGCAGTCATGCTGGTCAGACGACCCGGAAGTGACAACACAGGCTCCTGGGCTTGGAAATGGAGAACACCACCTCCCTCAGAGCCAGAAATGAGAATTGCCTCCAAAGCCAGAAATGAAAGAAGTCTTTGCCTTTGTTTGTGTTTGTGTGTCTTATTGTATGTAGTATCACTGTTTAATAATTACAGCATGTTGTTAGATATAAATTTCTACAATCAACGCTCATTCATTATAATGCAACTGACAACTTTATTTCTAATAATATAATTAAAATTCCAGAGCAAAATTCTAGATTCTAGAGCAAAATGCACATGCAAAAATTCTGCCCCAAATTAGAGCTTTACTTCAATAACATGTGAGTGCATTTCCAAAGTAGCAAAAATAATTTCTTGAATGGATCGTGTCAAAGTACCGTCAGTTTCGTAGTTTTTTTGTTTTGATTGTATCTACATATTCATAGCTTACAACATTAACGGTGTTTCAGTGAATAGTCACTAAAAGGAGCATGAGATCAACAAATTTGAATGCCTGCAACAAATGCATAACATTTCAACTGTAAGTTTGAGCAGGAGCTTGGTGCAAAATTTCTTGAGATTGGCTGGTTTACTAGTGATTATAATGCCCAAATATCAACATTCAGAGAAGCAGATTTGAATTTTGTGAGATTTATGAATTGCTTAATTTTTTTCCAGAAACACAAATCAACCTGAATTAAATCAGGACAGCATATATAGCTCTCATTCACATTTTATTTTCATAAGAATCTTTTTACACAGATCAAATTCTGAATGATCAGTATGATCTAGAAGATCATCTCACAAGACCAGTTCCAAAGTTCCAAACACTACAAGACACTGGCTGACCAAATGTAAATAAGGAACCTCACAAGGATTTTGTTGCAAAATGGTTTCGTTATTGCTTTTCTTTAGCTGCTGAGTGCTGTTTTAATCTGGCCTAGGTAAAGGTAAAGGTTTCCCTTGACATTAAGTCCAGTCGTATCTGACTCTGGGGAGTAATGATCATCTCCATTTCTAAGCCGAAGAGCCGGTGTTGTCCGTAGATGCCTCCAAGGTCATGTGGTCAGCATGACTGCATGGAGCACTGTTACCTTCTCGCAGAAGCGGTACCTATTGATCTACTCACATTCGCATGTTTTTGAACTGCTCGGTTGGCAGAAGCTGAGGCTAACATCAGGAGATCACTCACTCCCTGGATTTGAACCACCAACCTTTCAGTCAGCAAGTTAAGCAGCTCAGCGGTTTAACCCACTGTGCCACCAGGGGGCCCTATATCTGCCCTAAACATATCTAAATATCTTTCAATGACCTCTACACCAAGCTGGGAGAACTATGCATTGCATTCTTCTAATCAGTAAAAACAAAACAAGACCAGAAAACAAATAGGTAATTATAACATTAATCAAAACACAAAGTCACCACTGTCGGAAGCATTTAAAATATGAATATGTGCATCGTAGCTAAAATTGCATATTAACTTAATCACACAAAACATGTGACATGCTGTAAGACAAAATGGCTCTAGATACTCACTGCTTGTCTTCAGGCTTAATGACAGATGGGTCTGTAAGGTTCTCTCCAACACCTGCAGAAGTCAAATTTACAAAGAATGTTAGAAGAAATTGCCTTTTTAAAAGCCATTTGTGAAACAGTGACCTTTGCAATTATTTTATAGCTATCTAATCTTTGCCTTTGGAGAGGAGAAACTGAAAAGACAACATGAGAATTATGAAATACATTAAACATTGGCAAACAAATGCTGCATGTCTGTGTCATTGTTTAAACTAATTATTCTTTTTTTACCATTTCACTGTAATGCCATACAACTTAGGAGCATGTCCCCAAAGTATTTCACAGACAAAAGAGCAGAACTGGCAGGATATGTGAATAGATGCTGTATTTCAGAGTTCAAAAATGAACTAGAGAAACCCACTCCATGATGCTCATGAAGAATTCTGTTGACATAGTATGCTCTAATGCAGGGGTAGGGAACCTTTGGCCCTCCAGCTGTGGTGGACTTCAACTCCCACAATTCCTTGAGGCTCGGCATTCGCCCTAAAGGCTTACCTTGGCCCAATGCCGAGCCTCAAGGAATTGTGGGAGTTGAAGTCCACCACAGCTGGAGGGCCAAAGGTTTCCTACCCCTGCTCTAATGCCACCATATAACTTCGGTACCATTAGATTATGTATGCAGCATTAAACCTAGCCTACTAATTAATCCAGCTATGACAGCTTGGATGCAGTGCCACATTTAATGTGTATTAAGGGGAGCATATGCTCCTCTAAAAAAGGACATCAAAGGCCCTGATTTGAGAGTGTTTTGTTGACATATAGTTCTATCTAGCTATCTATTCTCAGGTGGAATCTTATTTATCTAAGTGAAGGAGAAAAAGAAACAGTGGAACATGAACAAAATAGGGGGGAAACTGAAATCCGGGGAAAAGGGAGGATCTTCACATTTAAGGTTCTAAGAGGCTTACCAGCAAAGACATATTGTCTTTGCCTTTTAAAATTCTACTATTTTAAAATGTGGTGGAGCCCCTGATGGCGTAGTGGGTTAAACAACTGAGCTGCTGAATTTGCTGACCAAAAAGTCAGTGGTTCAAATTCAGGGAGCAGGATGAGCTCCTGCTGTTAGCCCCAGCTTCTGCCAACCCAGCAGAAGCTGGGTTGGCAAAACCTGCAAATGTGAGTAGATCAATAGGTACTGTTCCTGTGGGAAGGTAATGGTGCTCCGTGCAGTCATGCTGACAACATGACCTTGGAGGTGTCTATGGTCAACGTCGGCTCGTTGGCTAAGAAATGGAGATTAGCACCACCCTCCAGAGTGGGACACAACAAGACTTAATCTCAGGGGAAACTTTTTACCTAAAATGTAGTGGCTCTGTTGCTACTGCCTCATTCTTTCCCATAATCCCATAGGACCATGTAGGAAACCATTTCAAGTGTCATCCCATTGTTCCCTTCCATTTAACTTTTCCCAGAACTTCTGTCTCCCAACTCCAAAGCCCAAGATACCTTATCCACAGCAATATCAGCACCCTATCTATATAGCAAATTAACTGTTTACTGTACTTTGGTAATATGTATATGTATTGTGCTGCTGACAAAGTTGGGGAGGATACTGAGATCTAAAACACAAACCAGTTGTGAAGCTGAACTAAATATGTCATGCTTTTTCTCATATTTTTCCACAATTCTTTCCTGCAAGGAAAGATACTGCTATTCATTTAAGCTTTTGGAGAGGTGGGAACCACTTACATTGCATTATTAGATCAATGTCTAAACATTTCACCCTACTGTAATGAATGCTTGTCTGTTAAATGTTTAATGTAATGATAGCAATAAATGAAGTTAGGATGCAGGAAGGTTTATTTGTTTGAAAAATGCATCCTGCTGTAATTCACACATTTTGAATGCTGTAAGTAAATTAAATCCCTATCTTCCACTACACATTTCCCTTGACACAAACGGGAAACAATTTACACAATAGCTAGTGGTTCATCTTTCATATGCTGCCTAATATTTCATTCCAAACACACTACTTCCAACCTTAAGGCTGTATGTGTGACAAGAACACAGCATATAGATCTCTGACATAAGGACAAGACAAATGTGGCAGACCCAGGGGCCAGGTTTTGGGCCTCTCATATTCACTAGAGGCCACACTCTATCAAAACTGTTAGTGGTAGGACTCAAAACCAGAGGAGGTTGGAAGTTCACTTGTGGTTTTTATGAACAGGTATTATTCCATAAATCCAAGGTTGAGTTGCAACCTAACTAAAAGGTGGATAACCGCTCTTGAAGTCTTCCACAAAAGCAGTTTATATGATTTTGCCAGAAAAGAGAGTAGTCTAGAGTAACAAAAAAAAAAAAACACAACTTTTTCAGATCTGCATCACTGAACTTTGCCAACCTGTCCCACCCGAAGAAGAGCTTCCCATTTTTTTTGTTTCCACACAAGGTTAGGGCAGGGCAGGGGTTGCATGAAAAATATATTTTTGGGCAAATCATAATAAGGTATCTTATATTTTACAGAATTTTACACATTGGCTTCTATCTGTAATTAGAGTGTGTTTTCCCAGTACTTCTAGTGTTGAATGCATCGCAAAATTTTCTTGGTCAGATTTGTGCAGAGATGGTTTGCCTTTGCAATCCTCTAAGGCTGAGATACTTTGACTTGCCCATTGGGGCAATATGGCTCAACAGGAATGTGGATCTTGAAAACTCTTCATGCTTATCTCGCCAGTGCTCCATTTCTCCGGCAATCACCGGTGAAATGGCAGATGCACGGGGTCCCACATGTCCTCCCTCCTTCCCCCATCACAAGGAGAGAATGGGACAAGACGTTGGTACCCTGTCCCTGTCCACATCAGATGGGAGAAAAGGCAGAAAAATGAGGGGAGATTCGTTGAAGTAGCTCTGTCAGATCTCCCCAAAACACAACTTACCTTGCTTTGGTGGATCAATGGGACAAGGCCAAGCCAGTGTCGTCTGATGGCACTTGGCAGGCTCCATCCCAGGAAAGGAGAAAGAGGATAAAAACCCCAAGTGTGATAAGGTCTCTGGTCTCCTAGAGTCCTAGCCCAAGATTTGTTCCAGTACACCACATTTAAACCATTATATTATTTGTTCGCTCTATTTATTAATAACCATTTCTTATTCAAAATTATTTCCTGGCTAAGTGTAAAATAGGGTTTAAATGAACATTGCAGGAAGATGCTAATTTTAAAGAGAAAACACTACTGTGTTGAGCAACAGTAACATTTATGTTCTCAATTTCTGGAGAAAACCAAACAGAAATAAGGCTGCATTCTTATACTTGGAGGTAAGCACTATAGACCTCTATGAAGTATAATTAACATAGGTAGAGAAATAGAATATTCCTCCTTTTTCTCAACATCAACAAGAAAGTTTGCTTTGACATTTTGAGACACTCATTGGGGGGAAATGTCAGCCACAGCTTTTGCATCAAAACAAATTTGCAAAAACAAAAATATATTTTGCATGCAACCTCCCCCCCCCCCCCTGCAAACTGTTTACAAGATTATTATCTTTTTGGTAAAACACACTTTCTTTTTTCAAAAAAAGTCCCAAATCAAAAAATCATTTAGAATACACAAAATTCTCATAATTTTATCTTGTGGGTTAAAAACATTATATTTCTCCAGTTTTGTGTCCAATAATGAAACTACGAAAGATCTAGGGAAAGTTTATTACAAATCCATATTTTTAAAGAATTGTTCAGTTATTTTCTTTGTCATATAATCACTTGTCCACCCTGTCCACTTTGGGTCATTTAAATTTCATGCTTAAACACATGCATGGCATACTTTGGAAGAATCACTAGGTTTCACAGAGTGGGAGTCCCTTACCTTGCAAGTCCAGTACCAGGAGCTCTCCCCGCGTATATTCATAAGTCCAGTGAGAAAAAGCCAACATAATTTCTTCCAGCAGATTGCTTGGTGTGATTTCATCACCATTGTTATTATTATACTTGCGAAACTCTCCCGTCATGTACTTTTCTATCGTGAGCCACTGATTGGCTGAATGACAATAAATTAAGAAGACCTCCAGAAACCTGAACAAAAAGATACTGTCATTCAGGGAGTTGACTTTCCACAAGCCACAACAGTATTGCTTAAGATGGAGCAGTGCTTCCATTTGAAATTTCTATCCAACTCTGGTCACAGACAATAAAATGTGCATATTACTATTATTTTTGTCATTCTTATTGTTGTTGAAATTATCATCATCATCACCATCACCACCACCATTATCGCTATTTGAAGTATTTCTGTATTACCTCCCAGCCCACAAGGGTTTTTGAGGCAATGAACAAACACATCTGAATCTTTGCAAGAGAGCCGTATTCGCCTCCCAGGAGAATTTGGAGGGCCACACCACCACTACCAAAAATCATTGCTCCCAAAATTCCCTTTTGGGGCACAGAAGGATTTTTGTTACATTTTAGGGGCCCCGGAACATAAAGAGGGGCATTTTTAAACAATAGGAAATGAGTGTAAGACACTTTCCATTAACTTCCTATTTCAAAGACAGACGTTTCTGGCACCTTGGACTTCATCCATGGACTTACAGATTTGTAGAGAAGCATGGGTGTCTGTCCCTATAGAGATGGCAATAATGCTTTTTGATTGCAAATTCCTCTGTGAAACTTTTACTCTTTCCCATCCCACTGTTTTCTTGGAGCGTTCTTGACTCCTTGTTGTCTGCCTTCACATTCATCATTAGCCTCACCGAACTACAACCTTCAGGATTTCATAGCATTGAATTATGACAGTTAAAGGTGTTTCAAACTGCATTAATTCTGCAGTGCAGATGCATCATAATTCTTTACCCTTCTTTGTCAATGATAATTATAATAAATTTCAAAACACGTTCTGTATAAAGCCATTAATGCAGAGGCACACATTTCCATAACAGAGTCACTAGAAGAAAAAGAAAACAGCCAACTTACTGTTCTAGTTGTGGTCTCCCAAACAAATAGGAACAAAATCTTTCAAAAAAGCATACAGGCTTATCCACTTCAATAAAAATCAGGATTGAAACTGTTCTGAAACAGAAGGCTGATTTTCACTGAGATAAAGCATTCAGATCTTTTTTAATTGAGTGAAAGGCCAATGTTACTCTTGATACTCTATAAAATTGCTTGTAAAACAAATCATAAAATTTTATTTTAAGTACTCAGAGCCAAGTTATGATCTCTCTCATCAAATAATGCAGATGAATGGGGGGATTTTAAATATAGTCGCAAGGGAAGTAGTAGTTTCAATATAGTCCTTCTATATGCCAAGGAAAGTTAGTTAATACACAAGCTTGAAATAATTTTCTGCTGCTTCGGTGTTATATACTTTTAGCTGAAATGAGAACTGTAAAAGACTGAATAACTATATCAAGTTTGGCCTTGTTTTTAATAGCCAGAAAACTGTTTGTGCTTGGACTCTGGAGATTTTAGTACAAATGTAAGCAGAAATGCCTTGGAGCATTGGATCAGATGTCAAAAACAATCCAACTATCAAGTAAGTAGGAAATGATGGATCCACTGTTTTTTGTGGAATCCTGGAATTCCACAAAAGCATCAGAGGGGTTCCTCAAAAAAAAATCTTTAAAATCAAATTTAAAATGGATTTTAAAATAAATCCACATAAGGCCAATTATTTTATTGTCTCTAATGCAAAGGTCATTTCCAAACATCTACTCACCAACAGATGTTGTTTTATCACAGCCCAGCATCTCAGACCCATTTAACCTCTCCAGGGAAAGTGCAGGAAGTCCCAAGAAAGTTCGTTGCACACATGTTGGAGCACTCTTGGCTTTTCTAGTAATGTTCATAAGGTTCTTTGTCTCATAAATACTAGCATACCACTACTTCCTTCATTTAGTTCAATTCAGGGAACCTCATGTTTGTATTTATGTTTACTTTTTAAAATTTCCAGACTTACTATGTTATACAAAACACCCAGGCTATAGGAGTGGATGAAATAAGGAAGACCTCAGTGTCCAAAAAAAGGGATAGAGTTAGGTTTCCAAGGAGAGAAAAAATGTTTTCTGAATAATTCAATGACTGAAAAAGTTTGGGAACTGCTGCTTTTTACAACATGAAGACAAGATGTGAAATAAAGGTTGCTCACCTGTAACCGTATTTCTTCGAGTGTCCATCCGTGAAATTCACACCTATGGGTTCTCCCTGCGCATGCGCAGCAATCCGGAACTTCTAGAATATTCAATGAATTTTTAAATGATTATTTTAATGAATAAACACAAGCCCCGCCCACTCTCCGCCCCCCCGGCATATAAGCCCTGGCGTGCGCCTGAGAGGTAGTTCCCATAGCGCCAAATAGATGGTAAAAAGAGGCATGACAGAGGGGAGGATGGGCGGGTTGTGTGAATTTCACGGATGGACACTCGAAGAAATACGGTTACAGGTGAGCAACCTTTATTTTTTCTTCGTGTCCTCCGTGAAATGCACACCTATGGGTGAATAGCAAGCTACTGACCTGGAGGTGGGTCATGCCACGCAGGAAAACAGTACGGCTCTGCCGAAGGCTGCATCCTTCTTGGCGAATACATCCAGCTTGTAATGTGATGCGAACGTGGATGGTGTAGACCACGTCGCTGCTCTACAGATCTGGTCTAACGGAACTCCATGCAAAAAAGCTTGGGAGGTGGAGAGAGATCTGGTGGAATGCGCCACCACACGAGGTGGTGGTTGTTTTCCCGCCAATTGGTAGGCTAGTCGGATCGTAGAGACGATCCAAGAGGCTATACCCTGGGAGGAGACAGGGTGCCCCATCATGTCTTTCCTGTATTTTAAAAAGAGCCTTGGGGATTTTCTATGAGAGGATGTTCTATGCAAATAGAATGAGATGGCTCTCTTGACATCCAAGGAGTGGAGAGCCACCTCAAGTGGAGAAGATGGATTTGGGAAAAAAGCTGGTAATATGATGTCCTGGGACATGTGGAAGTGAGAAACTACTTTAGGTAAGAAAGTGACATCGGTTCGCAGGACGACCTTGTCATCATGGAATCTCACATATGGTGGGTCCGATCTGAGGGCCGTGAGTTCACTGGCTCTTCTGGCCGAGGTGATAGCCACCAGGAATGCCGTTTTCCAAGAGAGGTGAGATATGTCATTGGAGGCCATGGGCTCAAAGGGCGGCTTTGATAGCTGGGATAGCACCAGCTCTAGGCTCCATTGTGGGGGAGGGGGGGCGACAGGAGGGTGGATATTTTTGTATCCTTTCAAAAACAATTGAACCAAATGATCTTGAAAAAGGGACGGCAAGCCACATTTTCTTCTAAAGGATGATATAGCAGCTAGGTAGCATTTAACTGAAGAGAAGGAAAAACCTTTATTAGAAAGGTGGACTAGGAAGTCCAGCACTATGGAGATGGGAGCTGTAGTAGGGTTGTGGCCAACTGATTTTGTGAATGTCGTGAATAATGACCACTTATAGGCATAAGACTTTGTGGTAGATGGTTTATGAGCAGCGAGGAGTATGCGTGATACGTCCTCTGATAGATTCATTGTGGTCTGATCCTCCATGCCGTTAAGCGGAGGGAGGGGAGGTCTGGGTGGAGAACGAGCCCGTTCTCCACCGTGAGAAGGTCTGGCAAGGGATCCAGATGGAAGTATTCCCTGTTGGAAATTTGGAGGAGTGTGGCAAACCAGTGTTGGCGTGGCCACCAAGGGGCGATCAGGATGCAATCCGAGTTGTCCTGAATTATTTTGGCTATGACTGGGGATAGGAGAGGGAGGGGTGGAAAAATGTAGATGAGGTTCGGTGTCCATCGGAAGAGGAAGGCGTCTCCGAGACAACCTGGGGATGCGTGAGGGAGGAGTCTTGCGCAGTATGTTGGGCAGTGGGTGTTCATTGGGGACGCGAATAGATCTATTGCGGGCGTCCCCCATTTGTGTGTGATGGTTTGGAATTGGGACATGTGGAGATGCCATTCGTGGTTGTTCTTTGTTGTTCTGCTTAGTGAGTCTGCCAATGTATTGTCTTGGCCTGGTAGGTGGATGGCCGAGAGGAGGATGTTTTTCTGAATGCACCATTCCCAGATGCGAGTTGAGATTGACGTCAGTGTTTGGGATCGAGTTCCCCCTGTTTGTTGATGTAATATTTGACTGCAGTATTGTCCGTTACTATTTGGACTATATGGTTGGAGGTGATGCGGGAGAAGGCTCGAAGGGCCTTCTCCACCGCCATCATTTCTAGTGCATTTATGTGGAAGCGGCGCTCCTGAGGGAGCCAGTGACCGCTGATTTTGAATCCCTTGAGATGTGCTCCCCAGCCTGAGTTGGAGGCGTCCGTTGTCAGGGACATGGACGGATGTGGCTGTATGAATGGCATGCCTAGGCGAACATTGTGTACCTTTGTCCACCATGTGAGGGAGTGTAGCACTACGTGTGGTGGGTGGAGGATTCGGGACTGCGGATCGTGGAGGGGGTCGAAAGTTCTGATGAACCAGTTTTGTAGAGGCCTCATCCGAAGCCGGGCAAAGGGGGTTACGCTGGTAGTAGATGCCATATGGCCAAGTATAGATTGGATGGCCCAGGCCGAGGCCTGTTGTGTTTGGATGAGTGAAAGAATAGCTTGTTGGAGTTTTAAAAAGCGGTCCTCTGGGAGGAAGGCTCTTTGGAGTGTGGAGTCTATGATGGCTCCTATGAATTGAATGCGTTGTGTTGGTTGAAGATGAGATTTTTTGTGGTTCACCACTAGGCCGAGATCCTGTAAAAGAGATAAGGTGTAATGAATATCTGTGCATAATTGAGACTTTGAAGTCGAGGCCAACATCCAGTCATCCAGGTACGGGAAAACTGTTATGCCTTGTTGGTGGAGGTGTGCGGCTATGACCGCCATGCATTTTGTAAACACCCTGGGGGCGGTGGACAAACCAAAAGGTAGAGAATTAAACGAAAAATGGTAATTTTGGACCGTGAAGGTAAGAAACCTTCGGTGGGAGTGTCTAATTGAGATGTGGAAGTATGCATCTCATAGGTCAACTGTTGCTAACCATGCCCCTTCGGGAATGAAGGGAAGAATGTTGGGGAGAGTG